AGGGGATATATTTTTGAAGGTAGAGCCAGCAGAATTGCTGATTGGATGTTGCTTGTAAAGGGAAGAGAGGACTTGTAAGGGTTGGGCCTGAGTGGTGGATGGATGCATCTTCCGTTTACTGAAATGAGGAAGACCATGGCAGAAGCGCTTTTGAAGAGGAAGATGAGGAGTCAATTTTGGACTTTATGTTTGGAATGTCCACTCAACATCATCCTAGAGATGTGAGGTTGGCGGTTACAAGTCTAGAGGTGTCGATGCTGGAGACATAAACACGTAGACAAGCTTTGATCATCGGGTGGTTAGGGAAGGTCTCTCTGAGGAGGTGCATTTGTGCAAAGACCTGAATGGAGAGAGGGATGAGCCGCCTTTTCTAGGGAAGAGCATTCCAGATGAGGGAACAGCAGGTGCAAAGGCCCTGAGCTGATCAAGTTGGAGGAACTGCAGGGAATCTGATATGTCTGCCGTGGAGTTAGCAAGGGACAGGGAAGAGTGAAGTCAGGGCGGTATCAGGAAACAGCATGTAGAGTTCTCAGCCCTGTCACACCTGATGTCCCCTTTCTCCTGCAAATATTTTCGCATGCCCACTTTCCTCTCTGAAATAATGTATATGTAATATGTATATATATGTATATATATATAAATAAACATAGCTACATCTGTAAGATTTTTAACAGTTTTATTGAGATATAATTCACATAAATGCAATTGACCCATTTCAAGTGTGCAGTTCCATGGCTTTATTATATTCAGACTTGGGCATCCACCACCACAGTCAATTTTAGAACATTTCATTTCCTCAAAAGGGAATCTTGATCCCCTTAGCTATCACCCCTCAATCCTCCCAGCTCCCTCCACCCCTGCTCTAAGCCACCACTAATCTACTTTGTCTCTATAGATTTGCCTATTCTGAACATTCATATAAATGGAATTATACAATCTGTGGTCTTTTGCGCCTGACTTCCTTCACATAATGTTTTCTAGGTTCATCCATGTGGTAGCATGCATCCTTACTTTGTTTGTTTAAACTGCCCATGGAGGGTATAGCTCAGTGGTAGAGCACGTGCTTAAGCACACATGATGTCCTGGGTGCAATCCCCAGTACCTCCAATAAATAAATAAATAAATCTAATTACCTCCCCACCCAAAAAGTTTAGATGATAAATTGATTGCCAAATAATATTCCATTGTATGGATGTACATCTTCTATATCCCATAAGACTTTCTTAAATAAAGAAGAAGTGAATGGAAGTTGATTTGCTAGAAAGTGAGATGAATTTTAATATGTAAATGCTCAGCCCAGAGACCATGGTAGAAGAAATCATGAAATAGTTAGCTGCTCACACCTAACGTGGCCTGAGTGAGACAAGCACTCAGAGTGATCCAGAGCAGAGTACTGGATTTAAGTTTTACACATGGCATTACTACTGATGCCACAGTTTTCTCAAATGGTGAATGACTCTTGGTAAAGTTGAGAACCAAAGTACAATCATCCCTTGATTTACTGAGAGTTACATTCCTGGAAATTTCAGTAGATCTTCAAACCGTGCCAAAAAAAAACAAAAACAAAACTTAATACTTACATGTATCAGAAGGTTGGGAGATTTGGAAATAGACTTTCACCAACATGAGTGTTACAGGGGACATTCAAAAGTCATACAGGACCTGGGACGGTTCTTCATTGTGAGAATCTGACTCTCACGTTGCAGGTGCAGACATCCGGGTCCCTGCTCACTGAATGCCTGCATCTGCCCCCAGGTACTACGACAACCAAAACCGCTCCCACAATTTCTCAAACACCCCTGGGGTCTGGCTTGCAGGTGGAAAGGAGAGGCAGAGATGAGAGCTTCAGAGAGTAGAATCCACTGGTCTAAAGGGAACGCGGGAAGGATTGAGAAGGAGGAATTTATGTGTAGAAAATGCTCTTGGAGATGTGAAAGGAGACATCTGGTTTTGAAATATCCCCACTGGAATTAAGACTGATCAGCTTTGTAGCTGCATAGAATGGGCTGCCCTATAACCTGAAAGGGGGACCATCATATTTAAGTGACCAGTTTTCTCCGTCTTCTCAGCTGTAAGGTTTTGTTACCGTCATTTTACAGATAAGACAACTGTATTAGATTACAAGGGCTGTGTAACAAAGTACATGAACTGGGTGGCTTAAACAAATTCATTTTCTCGTAATTCTGAAGACTACAGATCCAAGCTCAAGGTGTCAACAGGGTTGATTTCTTCTGAGGCCTCTATCCTTGTCTTTAGTTGGCCATCTCCTCCCTGTGTCCTCACATGGTCTTCCCCCGTGTATGTCCGTGTCCTAATCTCCTTTTCTTACAAGGGCACTAACCATATTGGGTAGGGTCCCACCTTAATGACCTCACTGAACCTTCAAGGCCTCTTTAAAGACCCTGTCTCCAAGGGGGAGGCTGTAGCTCAGTGGTAGAGCTTGTGCCTCGCATGCACGAGGTCCTGGATTTAGTATCCAATGCCTCCATTAAAAAAACAGAACCTTAATAACAAAGACCCAATCTCCAAATACAGAATGTGACAAATACATGCATATTCTGAGGTACTAGGGTTAGGACTTTGACATGTGAACTGGGGAGTGGGGAGGGGGCAGCAATTCAGCCCATAACAATAACAAAAGTGTGGTTGAGTGAGGTGACCACACCATAGAGCAGGGAGCACAATGGAGTGGAACCCATGGGGCTGGGTTTCAGTTCCTTCCCTGTCTGGGTGACCTTGGGGCAAGTCCTTTCATCTCTAAGGCCTCGCGTGGCTCATCTGTAAAGTGAGACTTGTGAGGCCTTTTCTAGGGGGCTGCGAGTCAGACTCAGTGTAAGAAAAGGGCATGGGCACCAAGGCAAGCTTGGAGCAGGGGTCCAAGAGGGCCCCTACTGGGTCAGTCATTAAGCTTTGAAGTGCTGGAGGGAAGGGAGGTCCTAGAGGTCCCAGGGGTGTGGAACAGGGTGGCTGAGAGGCTACTGAGGGGACTTGCAGTACTAGCTCATTTTTCACCAACCAATATGGAAGGTGTTCAATATTTCTAACAACCAGTAAGACCATACTGATGCATATCAAAGGGGCATACTGAGCCTGAGTTTGGACGCTTGAGAGTCAGGGTGGGAATGACTTGAGAAGGCAAGTCGTAGACTAATGTGACTGTTCAGTCTCTGATGACCCTCCCTCTGGCTCCACACGCAGGCCAAGCTGATCGTCCCCAACAGCACAGCGGGCCTGATCATCGGCAAGGGGGGCGCGACGGTGAAGGCGGTGATGGAACAGTCGGGTGCTTGGGTGCAGCTGTCCCAGAAGCCAGAGGGCATCAACCTGCAGGAGCGCGTGGTGACGGTCAGCGGTGAACCGGAGCAGGTGCACAA